AATTAATTAACATAATCTTATGAGAAAAATATATTCTCAATAAATAATAAAATAGAGAGTGGGTATATCTTATTTAATGGGAAACATATAACTTTTGAATTGTATTTATAATTTTTTTATTAAAATCTTATCTAAGATCTATATACGCTAAGAATATACTATATTTAAAGAGTTATTTATGTTAGTATTAATTTGTGCCCCTATTTAAAAATTTGTTGGCTCCGCCCCTGTAATTTATATATCTAACACTTTCATATTTAATTTATATTATATTTAAATCTAAAATCCTTATTAAAAATCTATTTAATATTAAAATTAAATTTTAAAAAAAAACATACATTTTGATTGAAATTAGTTATCTGTAGAAGATTTTTTAAAAAATATAAAATTAAAAATATTGCTTTACATTAGCAACTATAACAATGTATTTCGATGGTTACAACTTAAACAAGTAAGGAAAGTCCTGCGCTATCACTATATTTTTTTAGTAATCAACAATCGGTATGTCGGTAATTACATTTGAGCTTCAGTAAACATTTCGTATAGTTCGTCTTTCTCGTTTCGCTACAGTAAAATAACTCCTTATAAATTCTAAATCAAGTATCACTGAATTAGTAAGATGAATACACAAAATCACATCATTTAAAGGAAAGCTTGTCGATCCCACATACATGAACTAGTCAATAAGTCTTAAACAACTGGTCAAACTGGTATTACCTTTTACATACACATTGCAATAATAGAGACAATATACAACCCAGTTAATTAGCACAATCACATATACATTTTCATTAATTTTCATTAATGATTGTATTAACAATTTATGACTTAAATAAAAATATTCATTATTATACATTACCTGGAAAAAATATAATATATATTCTATTTTAATATTTCTATATTTTACCATGTGAAATTCAAAAATGTTACTATCAAAATATCTAGAATAATAAGTACGATATCATGCAAAATAAGTTGTTTTTATGAGGTAAAAATATTATAAAGTCAGAAAAAATACAATAAAATTAGTTTTGAAGAAAGTCAATCGATCAAAATTAAAATACTTTGATAACAGTGGATAAGGATTAGGAATCTACGCAAAACCTCAGATTAATCCCTTTCTTCCTGCGCAACTACAATTCAAAAACAATGAATTCAAATTTTTTTTTTCTTCATTTTCAAATTAGGATTGTTAGAACAACTTATATCATATATGATATATAATAAGGAGTATTTATCATTGATGTTGGATTACACCATTTTAATTTACTAAGGACTAATCAAATTAAAAAAAAATTGAAGGATCATAAGTTTTGTCTGGGATGACTTTCTTAATTATTTTTCAAAAACAGTCTTTCTAATATAACCAATTATATTTAATTATTAAGAAATATTTATAAATAAAGGCATATTATCAATCTCAAATGAACGCCCAAATCTGCTTATTATTCATTGCTCTTGAAGCTTTCGCTTCTGACCTATGAATGGGCATAGGATGGATGATGGAGGTGTGGTGCATTCAATGAATTCTAAATATGAAACTTATTAGACAGTAGCCTGAATGCTTCCAATTAATAAAAAAGTCCGGAATAATTAAATATTCAGTTTATGTGTCTTAGGAATATTATTAATGAGTCAAACTAATGAATGATAATAATTCTGGAAATAAATCCCTCTGAATAGATTACTTCAATTAATCTTATACAGAGCTTCACGGCACGCATTCATTAAAAATAATATGTTAGGGGACAAAAAGGACTGAGCTTCAAGCCAAAGGGGGAGGAACACTATTAAAAAAAAAACTTTCACAAACTTTTAATCTTTTAGTAACGGTTTTAAACCCCTGCTAAGAGAGCTACTAAAGCCTTCCTCATGCAGCAACACTCATGAAACCGTGTTAAAGTTATTGGGCAGCATAACGAAATACAAACGGTTTGGCAGCGGTTTTTGAAACCTTGCAAATAAATTTATGTAGGTGTTTAAACCGCTATAGTAGACCATCAAAAAGTGTTTGTGAAAGCCCGATTCATTAGTAGTGATTAAGCCTCACATAGATACATAAAACATGTGAGATTTAAAGTTTTATTTAAGAGATCAGTTTTCTTATCTTCTTAAAACAAAACATTCCTAAGTACAAAAAATAATATTTGTTACTCAATAAAATTTGATTTTAAGCAGTAATAAGAAAGCAATCACTAAGAAATCTTAGATTAAACAAGAAAAACATAATACATAGCAATCCACAGTTTTTCGATTGCTATTTGGATACTTCTCTAATAGCTAATATAGCCATAAAACAATATCAATAAGTACACAGTAAATATTAAGGCCAAGTATGAGAAGAGTTACATTAATTTCGAGAGCTCATGGTCAAACTATTCTTAATACATATTTATTCAGACTATCTCCAAACGCGTTCGGGGCACAATTCAAGGCCGAAATGGAGCGCCCGATTTTGGCAGACAGTCGCAATCAACTGAGCCTATTTGTTGGCCGGTCATCTTGACTGCACTACAGATATTATCTCATATCTAATTTTTTCACTCTCTTATCCGCAAATGCCGTACGTGAATCTCTTCTCGTCTGAGAAAAGGCGCGAAAGAAACGACGTATGATTTGGGGGCAAAAATGGCGTTACAAACGTGTTGAGATGAATCACGTACACTTTTTAATTTTACTGCATTTTTGCAGCATGAAAATGAGAATTTCGGTTGGAGATGCCCTTATAGCAGCCTTCAGTTTGAAATCCATAAGATTATTTTTTGCTGGGCGCTTTAGGTTTATAGATGGAAATACAGAAAGCGGGCTTCGCCTATCGACAAAGTGATTTGTAGTGGTATAGTTCGGAAGATCAAGTACCTGGCAAGAATGGTATTTTCAGAAATGTTTCCCATATCCAGGAAGAAAAGAGACAGCTTTCTTTCAAAGCTTCCAAAAAGAATTTATATCATTCAATGCTCAAAAACATACATTATACCTACTTTAATGGAGCTAAATAGAAGACTCTGAAATATACTCTCTATATATCCATTTAATAATCTTTCATAATAATGATAACTGATCAAAAAAATCCACTATCCTAAAAAAAACCCACTACACAATCCAGACTAAAGGAGATAAACTTAGTCTCCTAAGCATAGAATAGGCTAAAATGTCCCACATCATTCCTCCCTAGCATAGAAAGGCTGACTCCGTCGAGACGGCATCAATTATTGAAAAAGATGAATTGTTGCAACGCTAATGACAGATGCCCGGAT